TAAGTGTTTTGCAGGACGGATACGAAACCCACGTTTTTCATTAGCAGGTGTGTAAGAGCTATAATATACCAAAGCTTATTTAACTTAAATGCACTTTTAGTAGATGTGCTCAAATGCAATAATGCACATTGTGCAAAAAGCACATTTATTTGTAGCATCTATATATAATGCTTTAGATTAGACCTGCTTTAAGCATTTACGTAAATAATGAGAAAAAGAATCGCGTTTGTAGCTATAGTTGCTCTAAAGATAGGTGAACAACACGCGGGCTTTTAACAATCACATTACCGTAATCACTTACTTGCAATTTGAAGAGAGGGCAAAGATGATTAGTTATAAAATAATAAATCGGCCGAATGTTGTTGCATCTCATCGAAAGCAAACTTCCTGTTGGGTGCTAAGTAAGGGATCAACGTATTGAAGTAATTTGACATTAATTGCATACAAGGCTTTTGCATCGCAAATAGATGAAAATATATCCCACAAGATAAGGCGAATTTAGAGAATATGAAGCATAATATGCGGGGTAACACCGTCCACCTCGGTGTGCATCACCTCTTCCTAGCTCATCCGTCACCTCATACATCCGGAGGCAGAGCAATCCACCGCAAGACGAACAGTGTCAAAACAGACGAATGTTCTAGTAGGCGATATCTTGTCTGCGATTTCTACAAAAAACGCCCATTTAAAATGATCGAACAACCGCACCTGAGTGCCGCAGAAGGATAAGCAGCAGTAGCGAAGCAATTCTAGACAGAGTTCAGTCCACTCCTCGCCTTTCCCTTCTCTCTCCCTACCTCCAACTTGTTCATCATTTTTTCCGAAAGTTGTGTCTTTTCAGGGTAACGCGCCTGTTAACTTTTCCTGACCAAAAGCTCTATCCTGGGATTAAAAGGCACCGTAGAAGAGGAATTCAGTGACTCTTTGCTGTTCCTATAGTAAGTAACTTATCCCCTACCCTATCCCTCATACCCTGTAGCATGATTGTTTGATTTAATAGAGCCTTTTCATAATGAGCTGCCCCTTTTGGTTTCCATATAGGCAGCATCATACAGAAACTTGCTTCACCAGCGCAACCATTTGGGTGATTGGGTGAGAAGGAAGGAAGTGGAGCCTGAATGCTTCCACTGGTGCCACCATGCCACCATATCATCCCTTTCTTCTTGCCAAACCATTAAAATGAGGATAAAGCTATACACAAAAAAATTAAACTAAAATAAAACTGAAGCTAGAGCATGTAAGGTGATGGGCATAAGCGTAGACGATATCAAAAATAGACGTAGAAGAAGTAAATTATTTGCATAAGTGCGAACACTAAGAAGGGAGAGACATGCCTTGGGAACTATTAAACAGACATCTTACTCTATCAACTGAATTGTTCGTCTCAGCGAATGTGCTGCTAGATTTAATATCACCTACCTTCATTTCCTATACCTGCAGTCAACACTGCACCATTCACATCATAAACAAGTGCCGTGGTTCCAATGCAAGCAGTGCACAAGCTCCTTCACCACTACCTTTAACAATTTGCACCTCTTGTCTGACATCCACCTTGTCTTTAGACTGGGGGGTACATGAGCGGCTGTCACTGCAAACCTTCCACATATGCACCTCCCTCCCCTTATGCCTTTTATTAGTCTTAGCTGAAAATATTGCGCAAAAGATCTTGCTCAATCGAATTCTCGACAAAGTAGGGCCGGACTTCCTCCTACATATATATCACGAGTACTTCAACAAAATGCAAGAGACCTCCCCCCACTAGTGACGAAATAATCAAAATACTGAGGTAGGTTTCACAAGTCTGTTTCACTTTACCTGTAACTTGCAATGTCTCTACGTTCGACAACTTGAGCATCCAAATAGCTGACGCATCAGGATGGTGACTGAATTAAATTTCTAACACAGCTGCTAGCTACTGAGACCTTGCGAATGCTCGTCGTGTGGGTAAATAAAACAAGGCTTTGGTCATTTGTGGTGATATGCTTAGGAAGCAGTAAACATTAAACAGTTATCTGGGGTACATTTGCCCTACAAATTTTAAAACCAATCTAGTATTCCATGTACCAAGTCTTTCTTGAGATTAGACTGTGTCAGGTTAGGCGACTAAATGAAACGTGACACATGAAGGTTGGAGTAAATTCACACACTTTGGGTGGTTTGTGTTTGTTATCCATGAGATTTCACCGAGAATGCACTTGACTACTTCAGTGGTCTGTGCATGAAGCAAAATGTGGAAAGTGCCAATTGATCGGCTTGTAAATGATCAAAATTTGAAATACCTCATCCGTTTTTGATATGTGAGGTTATTTATAGCATACATGACAACTTTGCATGCACATGTATTGAAATTTGAAAAAATACCATAGATCTATTAAAAATAATTGAATTTTTTACCTACAATTATTATCATCATCGTTCAAACTACATCACGGCAATTACTCTCGCAAACAATATTGACATTGCTCTCCGAGATCATTGAACTTCCGTATGATAAACACCTAGACTGACTTAGGGCCGCATGTAGCCGATTTAAGGTGAGTGTTAGGTCTGAAGCAGTGGCAATAGTGGACCCACCCAAAGAATCCAATCGAGTGCCAGGAGCCTACACGTCTGATTGTGAGCTCTACAATCGCAACCATTAATCCTTATCTCCAACTCATAAGATATAAACTCCCCCTACCATCTGCCATAAGACTCTGACAGTCGCCAATGTGGCATAGGCATATGGTTCATTTAAATATCAAGAAGTCAAAACACATACACACATTTGTATAGAGACCTAGTAGGAAGACAAAATTCACATAGAATACAAACCGTCCAGTGGGAAAATGGGGTAAAGTCGAACCGAGGTTGTTCATTCGCTCTCCACTCACCACCTCGTCTACAATTTCCTGATTACCACGTCACGAGAGCGCAGTTTCGGTGCTGGTCACTGAAAAAGAATAAAAAAGAGGAACAGAAAAAAACAAATTTGGCCACAAAAGCTGAGTAGATGAAATAGATGTGTGGATGGGATGAGAAGAAAGTGAGAAACAGCAGTCACACAGGGCCGTCAATTCCTCTACGAAGGCAGCCATCTGTCCGCATCGACAAAAAACTAAGCAGCTGTAATTAGAGGTGTTTGCTGTGACTTCTGGATGAGGGGAGTGCGTAACCAAGCCTCTTCTGCCATTCTACATTGACGTGGTGTAACATAGGGGAGAGGAAGATAGAGTTAGAGTTCCCATTACATAGAAGACCAGAGTAATCGTCTGGAAAAAAACAGTTACAAGAGATCAATTAGAAACATCTAATCAAACTGGAAAAGGGAGGAGTCGTTGAGAGTTGACGCAAATTTACCGGATTTTGATAGAGTAGTGTGCCAAAATGACCCAGAATGCGAGGACCCGATGAAATGAGTTTACCTAGACACACCAGGGAGAAAAAGATGAACTAAGGTAGATCCTAGGCTAGCAAGTAGGTGGAAGAGCTAGACACCAGTCTAATGTTTTGCACGTTGTTAAAATCTGTGGAAAACGAGTAAATGAAGGCTATAACAGGTGATTCTTATAGTCAACAGAACCGCTATTTAGCCTCAAGAGCTTTTGCAGTTTCATAGGTAGGCGGTTATTGAAAGCATGACAAGTTTTTGTTAACTCCACAATACCCGCTGTAGTCAGAGCGTATTCCTTTATGGATGGCCTTAAAATTACATTTGAGGGTATTTTTCTAAGTCGTTTGTGATACTCCCTCTTCCATTAGAAGTCGTAGCCTTTAGTCACCATTAAATGACATATCCTGGGTAAATGAGTAGATGGCCAGATGATGGATAAGTGAGTGGATGTGGAGTGGATGAAATAGAAATTTGGTTGAAACACATTTGTCGCAGGCTGTTGAAGTGCATCTTTGATGCGCAGATGGAGGCATGAAGGTCGAGCTTTCTTGAATATGTGACTGTTAGCGACCGTAATGTACTCAAAATGCTCTCTTATCTATGTCGAATTTTTCATTATTTTACACCCTATATTAGACAACAAAAGAGTAATGAGTTGAGTTGACGAGTTGTTTGGAAGAATTATTAATAGACGAGTTTGCCTCCTTGTGAGAATCGCTTCGAGTCATCCTTGAAGACGTAGTGATGCATGTGACTGGAAGTAGGGTTGTTGATGACTTGTAGAAGGAAGGGCACAGATGGAAGCCGATTTATTACTGTAGGTTTTCTGTCTACTTGTTTAATAATGCTCCGGTGAGTAGTACTGACACCGGTAAAGGGGTATGGGCATTCCACTTTCTGAAGATTATTACAAGCTCTATAATCGACGCACGGACGGGCATAAAGGCTAGTAACAGAGCTTCTTGAAAATTTGGTCTTCGTTTAGTTGTCGTCTTAAGTCTCCTCGTGACATTCAACCATCTGCTAGAAAGGAAAGCAACTTTGTAAAGCCGTGGTATTATTGGCTATGCGTGGTGATACAGAGGGATCGAGATTCTTTTGGAAGAATGTTTTTAGAGTAAACCCCCCCGTCTTTCCACCCTGTTCAGTTTGTAGATTTGTCTGCGAGTAAATTGAGGAGGAGTGGCGTGCTACTGGATTATGATATCAATTGATGTACTCACAACAATCCTGTAAGCAGATTTTCGAGACACGCTTTTATGTGTGATTTCGCTTCAGACCTCACTGCTAAGAGTGGATGTCATTTCAGCAACCTTACTTTGGTACTTCAACCTTTGCATACAATTGGTGAAACTAAGATTGTATTCCGTTTTGATTGGGTCCTCTTTGACTACGAAATAAAATATGCCACTAAGAAAGTTTGTACGTAATCAATGGGACACCTAAGATCAATGTATGGAGAGGCTCCAAAGTAAGGAACAGAGATTTGAAGCCCCCTCAATGACTAGGTGGAGAAGGAGTGTGGTGGGGCATTTCAAATCGATGTAATTTCTGCAACTTAAATTAATCGCATATTTTCCGTGTACCCGTGTAGGCATTCGTACAGGGCATTCGGAGCAGAAGCATCTGAATGTAAAAATTAAAAAAGGTCGGCTCCGAGCAAACTCAGGCATGCACCAAACTATCAAACCAGCGAAATTACCTTCTGGAAGCCAACATACCGCTGTACCTGGAGGTTGATGAATGCTGACCCACCCATGACGCCTCTCAATGGCTGCCAACCTTCCAGACGTCGGCAACAGCCAGTCCAAGTCTTGTCAGAGGTCTAGCTTTAAGAACATGCGGTAGTGTAATAGGTGATGTGACATCCCATCTGAACCCAACCAACTGTTGTGGTAAGATGAGGTCACTTTACTATGGCAGTGTTTGGTAGACCCTTCATTCATTACTACTACTAGTGTTGGTGAATTTCGGCTGTGGCATTTCAGTTCAAGCACGGTCTTGCGTTCTTGTCTTTTCGATTCGACTGAACTTATCTGTTGTTTGGTTTGATGACTGCTTTACTCATTATATTAGAAATGAAGCTACTGAACTTTTCGTTCCATCAATTCATTCTTCTTGACCATCGAGCACGTGCAAATATGCCTTCTTTAGCGGTTTGTTGAAATTGTTGAAATTTGGGTGATGTGGAGCAGGAGCTTTTCATACCCACCCACTTTGGGATGCTGATTTTGCAACAAATCAATTGCCCCTCTTATTCAACCATCGGTTGATGGAGTGGCTCAAATCAGGAGTGACTTATTGAAAATCGATGAATCTCATTGGCTTAATTTGATGGCTTGACGCACTACCCGCTTAGTTAATGCAAGCCGTCGATTTTACGATGAAGCCTGGATTGCTGTCACGACTGCAGATCAGTTGTTGACTCTACGTTACGGGCTGTTTCTTATCAATGAAGTGACATTTGACACTGGAGGAGAGTGATGGTTGGGTAGATGGACGAATAGAATTCGAATTTGTCTGACACAGCCCTGCCCTATTTGTTCACCACTTATATAGTGAATGTTTTACTTCGTATTCTCATATTATCAGACTTCACGCGCCACAGGCATTAGGTTCACTACTGGGCGACTTCGATCCGGTCGATTCTGGTGAGTGCCATTTCTACGTAGTTGAATGCTCTGATGTTGGAGCATGATACCTAGTAAGTAACTCCCGGACTTGAAATAAAATCTTGTCCTAATTGGCCCTTTAGGACATGCCGATAAAGCAATGCTTTGTCGTGTGACAATGTACTGCTTTATTGCTTTACAATATATTATGATACAAGTGATGGTTTAAGGGCTAGTACTTATCAACTGTAAAGAATGCACACATGTCACTAATTATGAGTGTGTGATGCACACAAAGTCTGACATCTGTGTGCAGCAGCACTGTTTTTCCTTCAGCTTCTGAAGCCAAATGCCTCTGTTTGAAGAGGTGCGGATAATACTTCGAGGAATGGTTGCAAGTTGCAGCTTTAAATGACCTCGTGACATTGCTGCATTCCTAGTGCACTCTTGACTGCATCACTGTGACTTAAGTGGTGATGCGGGTGCATGCGCCTGTCTGTCGGACATATCTAAACAACAAAATACGCGTCTGTCACCTCAAGTGGCGACTTCCAATATGACATCTACACAACTAGCGTTTTAATGCTTTTCATAAATTGAAATACTGCTCT